GATACCTCTTAAATTTGTAGCCTTTGGACGTGTATCGTCATCAGATTCAGTTTCTTAAACTTCTTTTGACGATGAGTTATTTTTCTTCTGTTCATCGGTGGATTCATTATTCAATCTTTCATTCTCTTCATTAGACTTTGTGTCGTCCTTTAAAACATTAGAAAATTTATCAAAATTAAAAGGTCAATAAATGTATATACCAATTAAAGAAAAATCAAAATTAGAATTCAATACACGTGTATATCACCATGAAACTCAATTATGTCAATACATGTATATACCAATTCCAGAATTAACAAAAGACGAAAGTCAATCCATGTATATACAACTATATAACTCAAATATCATAAGTAGAATGTTGATACATGTATATACCAATAATTACATCACTAACACGTTCTTCCTCAACTATCTTGAGACCCTTTCCTTTTCATGAAATATACGAGTACAGTTAGCTCAGTGAATCTAATTTGTAAATATTACTGTAAAAATTAACAAATAAGAAATATATAAACTACTGCATCTATATATCTTTTTCACTTTCTAAGTTGATTTTGCATGATTCCTTATAATGTTCTGTTATACCAATAGCTTTTAATCATTGTCGAGATGTTCATCCTCTAACTTTTACCATAACTATAGATTCTATTTAGAATTTAAGCTATATAAATATAGTAAGCATGTTGCAGTTCTAGATATATACTTCTCAGATCTAGTTATAAACAAAAGACATATGTCGGTCCCACACTTGTATTTTTTTTAAATATCCTAAAATATAGGGAAACCAAAAATATCTTCCTAAATACCACTAAAATACGCAAAATCTGAACAAAGGGTCTTACCTTCCTCGAAGAGATGCTAGAAGATGGAAGTTGGGCGGCAGATCGGAAACATATCGAAGCGGCAGTAGGTGGATCTGGTCTGGGGCAGCCGGCTGATCATATCGGCCTTGGACGGATCTGGTCGGGCGACGAGACGATAGATCTAGTTTGGGACGTGGCGCATC